CCGATGTCTACCCAGAGCGACGATGGGAATTTAGATGCATATGAACGTGACATAGTGGACATGTCAAAACGTTATAACGGACTGGCGTTTTACGAGTATCATCGTGTTTTTTCTGCCAGAGCTGCAGCATTGCTTCTCAACCACAACATTAAAGTGGATTGGTCTCGTCGAGATACAACGCTATACTGTTCTATATTCTCAGGGCTTCGTGCAAATACATGCAATCTGTGCAGTAGTGTCGCTCATGCAACCGAGGTGTGCACTCAGCTTGCCTCAACCACCAGGAAGCCTAATTTATATACCCCTGGTAATACATCAGCCTCGGCATCCCATGACAGATCTGGCCGAAAACGTGTTTTCTACCAAGGAAAGGAAATTTGCAACAACTTTAATGCACCTTTCGGCTGCAAAAAGAGCAATTGTGTCTTTTCTCATTTATGCCATAATTGCCATTCATCTGAACACAATTTTAGTCAAGGGAAATGTGCTCCTAAAGGTCAGCAAAGCAGAGCCTGACTTCCTAAGAAAGCCTCCACTCCAATTAACATTGATATTCTTAGTCAGCAGTTATCCACCCATCCAGACTCAGCATTTGTGAACTACCTCATTTCAGGCTTACAGGAAGGCTTTGACACTGGGATTAATAACCCACCTTTATCTACCTTAATTTGCCGTAATTTGCTATCTGCTCGCAAACAACCAGAAGTTGTTACAGAAAAAATTGCATCAGAAGTCAAAAAAGGATATTTGATTGGCCCCTTTTCTTCACCACCCTTTGCCAATTACCGTTGTAGTCCAATTGGCGTGGCAGAAAAGAAATACTCTGACAAGAAACGTTTAATCGTGGACTTATCATCACCCCATGATAATGCAGATACTCCCAGTATAAATGACCTAATCGACAAAGTACAGTTTTCACTCTCTTACGTGAAAATTGATGATGCAATTTTAGCCATTCAGACCATGGGTAGAGGCGCATTGTTGTGCAAAACCGACATCACTGATGCTTTTAAACTAATCCCAATTCATCCTTCTTTATGGCATCTGTATGGTATCCAGTGGGATAGTCAATTTTACTTCTTTGTTCGCCTGGCATTCGGGTCACGCTCTAGTCCAAAGATCTTTGACCACCTGTCTACTGCTGTCTCCTGGATTGCTCACCACATATATGGCATTAGCACTATCTTTCATTTACTGGATGATTTTCTAACAGTTGACCCACCATCATTTGATGCCGATCGTACAATGGCTCTACTGACTCTGTTGTTCCGTCGCCTAAATATCCCTTTGGCACCACATAAAACAGTGGGTCCAACCACATGTTTAGAATATCTGGGGATTGAACTTGATACTCTTGCTATGGAGGCACGCCTACCAGAGAATAAACTTAATAGGATGCTTAGTTTGGTTGCTTCATTCCTTGCCCGTAAATCCTGCACAAAGCGAGAATTACTAAGCCTCCTGGGACACCTGAATTTCGCATGCAGGGTGGTCACTCCAGGCCGGACATTTATTTCACGCTTAATTGAAATTTCCAAGGGAGTGAAGAGTTTAAACTACCATGTGACATTATCGCAAGAAAGTAAACAAGACCTGCTGATGTGGCACCAACTCCTCTCTAATTGGAATGGTGTTTCTATGTTTCTGGAGGCCGAAACAACCCTAGCGTCGGATATGCAGCTATTCACAGATGCCAGCGGCATAGGGCATGGCGGCTATTTTCGCGGTCATTGGTTTAACGAACGCTGGCAGCACGGACTTACCCTTGACTCTGATCCAGCACTGTCCATCGCATTCCAAGAACTGTACCCAATCGTGGTAGCATCAGTGTTATGGGGTCATTTTTGGGGACGCAGGCGAATTATGTTCAATTGTGACAACATGGCGACCGTTCACATTATCAATAAAGGCCGCTCTAAGTCACCTGTCATTATGAAGCTAATGCGACGACTAGTAATCATGGCAGCATCCCACAGTTTCATGTTTCAAGCTCAACATATCCCTGGGAAGCTTAACACAATTGCTGATTCTTTGTCTCGTTTCCAGATACAACGTTTTCGAGAAGTGGCTCCACTCGCAGACAAATCCCCGTGCCTGATTCCCTCCAAAGTAATGTTCAGCTGAACCAAGCGCTGGTCACCTTCCAAAGAGCGGCT